CTAAATGAGCAGGAGTGGGGGTGGGGTGGGCCAAATGTCCAGTCAGGGACTGATTGTAATGAGAGACATTTTGTGTACACAAGTCAGCATTCATGTGATGCAGGTCAGTAGTAAAATCTATCCCGTGTTTATGATTTAAACAGACTTAAAATCAATTGTGCATCACATTCTTACTTGATAGAGGAGCAGCCCCCATGAATTCTGAGCACATCTGTGGGGACTTGTCACCATCTTCACATGTCTCCATCCCCACTTAAGAGTTATTCAGATCAGTTCCTTGACATCCACACGGTCATTTACCATCTCTCATCCCAGTGTAAGTTTCTGTTTAGGGCTTCCTGTTTAGTTCCTTTTTCCCATTTATCTTCCCAATCTCCACTAGGGCCCTGCTTCTAATTTTACAGCCAGAGTAATTACCAGTCATTTGGGAAGAGGGAAAGTGGAAAGATAGAAGTTCTGGAATATCGAGGGGTACTCTCCTCCTATTCTCCACCCTGAGGCTTCTGTGAAGATGGACTTTCACAAGTTGTCCTTGTGGGCTGAAAAGAGACATTTAACTGTATTGTCAAGTGCAAGTGCTCTGTGGAGAGGACCCCTGACTGGAAGTGACCTCTTAGGATAAATGAAGGCGAGTCTTATGCTGAAGGAACTGGAGGACTACCTGAAAAAGTAAGGGGTCTGTTAGGAGGTTTACATCCCTGGCAAAACTGCCCTCCTTTTGGTAGTGGGTGGTCCCTCACCAGTGGCCAACTCCTGCCCACCATCTCAAGGACACAGCTGCTAGTGACTGGGAGATGGGTTAGGCAGCCTTCCTGTTGGGATGGCAGCTTGTTGGAAAAAGTAACCACAACTGGACACTTTTTGCATAACTGGAAATCCATGCATGGTGCTATTGGACAACCAGTCTAATATTTTATTCACAAGGAAGACTCTTCAGACAAAAATCACACGTAGGATGAAAGAGAAAGATTGGATGTGAAGAAAGAGGACCTGATCACAGAGGAAGCACAGCAACCAGGGAGTAGAGGGGAACTTAGGAATTTGCCAGTGTGTCACCTTGGACAAATTTGAGGACACATCGCATCTATAAAACAAGAAGAGTATCCCTTGGGAAACGAGGAACCTGGGGACAAGAGAGATGTCTTGAGCAATATAGATTGTAAAAATTAGGGGGAAAAGGGCAGTTGAGTTGTCAGATACATTTAAGAAATTTCCAAGAACACAGAGTGAAAGGTATATTAAAAATAAGAAAAGAAAGGTAAAAGGCAGATGATTTATTCAGGATACTGAAAATTTTACAAAAACATGTGTAAAGGAAGAAATTTATCAGAGAAACTGTATGAGGAAAAAAAATACAAAAATAAGCAGCTTAGACCAATCAGGGAAGGTAAATGGGTCACATGTAATTTATGAACAGGAAATGAGGCTAGGTCATCTGAACTGGATGGTGTAAGAAATAATGTTGAAGAATTTATATAAAATTACAAATACTACACAAAAATAATAAAAAGTAAAAAATCACCAAATTTTAACAGCGTGAGTCAGTAGATAGTATCTTGAATTAAAAATCCAGAAATATAGAAACAACATAGTATTTACAGTAATGAGAACAAAAATTAAACATGACAAGAGGTGTCTGCCTCTAGTGAGGTATGGGGGAGAGTATTGTTTTTCATTCATAGGTTTTCTTCTAAGATTTTACCACATAACTGCATTATTTTGATAAAAGTAATAACTTCATATGTGTACTTTTTTGCTATGATATTTTTCATAATGGCTACAAAATGGTTTGAGGCTCATATATGGAAAGGACCTTACATGAACTAAATGATGTGGATGAATTGGCATCTCACCAAAGAAGGCAGGGGGTGATCATATAATTTCATTAAAAAAACCCTAATTTTGTGAGGAAGTTGTATACCTAGCAACTAGAATAAGACATATCACCCCATCTCAGAGTTTCTTAGGAGTTTGCTTGAGTAACTGAATTAGAGTTAAGAATAAATGGCACATCAACTTTAAGTAAATAACTATTTCAAAATGTTTCTATTAGTAATTTTGCCCATTCCTCCATAATCTCTTTTTAATCAACATGTCTATTAAATCTTATTTCTGCCCTGGCTGGTGTAGCTCAGTGGATTGAGCATGGGCTGTGAACCAAAGTGTTGCAAGTTCGATTCCCAGCAAGGGTACATGCCTGGGTTGCAGGCCACAACCCCCAGCAACCGCACATTGATGTTTCTCTCTCTCTCTATCTCCCTCCCTTCCCTCTCTAAAAAAAAATAAATAAAATCTTGAAAAAAATCTTATTTCTATAATAGGAAAGTGAATTTCAGCAATTTATTCTTCAATATTCATAAATTTCTAATTAGTGAATCTTTACCTTATAAAACCTCACTTTTATGTAATAAATTTAGTTCATATAGATAAATTGCTTACACACAAAGCAGTGTATTCACTGGCACTTTTAAGTACCATTTTTCCACAATGCTTTGTAAAACATTTCTGTTTTCCAAGGAAAGTCTTTGACTTTCTTAAAAAAGTGGAAAGATACTTGATAATCACAGCTTTAAAGCTGGGACATATTGAAAAACTACTCACCAAATAATCCTGACATATGTTTTGGGGGTCAGAAATATTTTACACAGTAAAGAGGAAACACTGTTTGATGTCTTTCCCTTCCTCCTTTCCTCCTTTCTTCATTCACATTCAGGAGTTAGGCCAATGTCATTTGAAACTATGTTATCCAGGAACCTGTGGCAGAAAAATCTATGACACTCCAAATTTTAAAATTTGCCAAGATTTTATTTCTGTGATTCTACAACTCTGTGCATATAACTCTTTCACACTTAATTTTTTTTCATCTTCATCCAAGGACATTTTTTCATTGCTTTTAGAGGGAGAGGAAGGGAGAGTGGAAGGGAGAGAGAGAAGCATCAGTTGGTTGCCTCTTGTACACATCCAGACCTGAAATTGTACATGCTCAGACCGGGGACAGGGATCAAGGACTGAACCCACAACCTAGGTGTTGGATTATGTAGGTGCCCTGACCAGGAATCGAATCCACAACCAAATGCTCCAACCAACTGAGCCACACTGGCCAGGGCTCTTACACACTTTTTACATTGGATTTAAAGTTTTCTTTATGACCCATTCCCTACTAGGATGGAAAACTCATGCAGGCAGGCTTTTAGTCTATTTTGTTCTCTGTGGTTTTCCCAGAACCTAGGATAGGCTGTAGTGCTGGTGGGCACTCAGTAAGCAAGTTACAAATGAAAGAGTACACCTACTAATAAGAGCACTTGTGTGGCACTTATTTTGGACTAGGAATCTCTCTAAGTGCTTGCACAGATGAACACATTTATCCTTCAAATGACCCTCCTATTAGGCACTTCTGTGGTCCCCAGTCCCAGAGAGGCTGATTGGCCTGAGGTCACATCACTAGGTGTCAGTGGAGCTGGGACTAAAATCTAAGTAGTTGCTTTTTGCCTTACCACCTCTGACTGTTTCCAGGGTGGTTACATCCCGAGGTGGGCTGTGTCTTTTCTGGGCACCCTGATGCATGCAGAATGGTGCCCAATGTGTAAGTGCTTCCTATTAATGTCTGCCTGGTACTGGACAGGAGAAGGGCCACATTGGCAGTGTGGTTTTGACAGAGAGGACTCTGTCATGTGCTGCACAAAGAGGCGGATGCCACTAAATGTGTGAAAGCAGGTTGAGTGTCATGGCTCAGGTGGATGCATGCCACCAAATGCAAGGGTGTTGTCAACTGAATGGAATCACCTTTGACTGAGAACATGATTGTCGTAAGGTGATTTTCCTTTCAAGCAGTGTATGTGTTTTATCCTGCTCACCAAATTACACTGGGAGGAGATGTTTTTACTCCATTTTTAAAAGATGCCAAAAATAGAAAGGTTAAGTGACATATCCTCTGGCTGAAGTGAAGACAGTGTCCTGAGTGCTCTCTGCCTATTCCACTGTCCTTGTGTGTGATGGCCCTGGGAGAGGCCCCAGGGTCAAGAATGATGGGAAAATATGCCAATCACCTGGTTTTAAATCAACTTTTACCACAAATATATTTGGACATCAGGTATATAGTTCCTTCTGAGTCTTAGCCTCCTCCTACACATGCAGAGTGTGTGTGTGAAACTCAAATACTCCAAGTCAGTTATTCTTACAATAATTTTGTAACATGTTGTTACCAACTCAAGCCAATCTTTTGGAATAAAAACAGTTGAATTCAAATAACCAGTTGGTTAGTTATTATGAATAGGTCAGCAATGTTCTCTATAGTACTGATTGCTTAAATTCAACCATCATTTTCTCCCATGTTGGCTTATAAAAGTGGCCATGACCTTGTTCATTGGTGTGAATGTCTTCCTTTGGTTCTACCATTTGTGCCTGAGGATGGACATTCATCTGTGAGCATTGTGGGTCCCAGCAGGAAGGGATGGATTCGGTCTCCTGTGACAGGATTTTTAGGGGGTCTAACCGTAGTGGGAGGGGCTCATAATTCTCAGGTGAATTGAATTCCCTGGACTGGGTTGCCCTTCTGCACACAGAGGAAGCATGTTAAGGGAGGGAAAGGAAGACAGGGGAGAGAACAAGCCTTGCCCACCAGCCTGGAGTGACTTATCAGGTGGCCTCACCTGATCTTGAATTCCAGTTTTTGCAGATTCCTCCAGCATTGCCCACTCTTCCTGACAAAAAGATGCGAGGAAAATGCCTAACGAGGGACTGACCAGCCAGGTCCTTAGTTTACCTTCCATGAAAGTTGAGAGAAGCCTATGCAGAGATGCTTTTAGGGGGTGTAATTACACAACCACCGGCACTATGGTTTTTTTGCTGGCCACTCATTTGTCCCTGATCTCTCTGTGTCTAGTTTTGTCTTCCTTTTCACATCTTCGGATGGGAGGGAGAATCCTGTTTCCTAAGATCACAAAAATGCTAGTTTCCTCTCCTTGAGATGAGAATCCCACAGCAAAGACATGAGATTTTACCTTTGGTCATGACGATCCCTGCCAGCGCTCTGTGGCGGGCATGCACGGATGTCAGGCCCACTGTCAGCTCACGGAACTTCTGCGTGACCATCTGGGACACAGAGTCAGCAAATTCCTGCAAGATACAAGCACCGGGCTGCTTTGATGCTGAGCGGTTCACGCTCATGTCCTTCTCTCCCTCTCAAAGCCATGTCCCCATGGGTGGAGTCCAGAGATCACCCTGTCACCCAGTGCTCCGCCACCGCAGGCACTGTCCCATGAACCCTGGCCTCAGGAAAGCATCAAATATTGTACTGGACTGATTGGAGGCCTTGATTCTGAGGAATTAACCCCCAGCTTGGCCCCTAGATGGGAGCCTGCTTGTGCCTGATCAGGACCTCTGCAGGGAAATGCTCTGTGCCTGCTTCCTCCCTCTCCCTGCCTCTTAGAGGAACAAGCTCAGCTGTGTCCTGAGGGGAGCCTGGGGGACTGCATATATGGGGCGATTGGTTTTCGCTTTCTGCTTAGTTTTGCGGATCCAGTTTCTAAATACCCCACTCATCTCGGGGACTCTCCTGGCTGAACTGCTCCCTACAGCTCATTCACGACCTTCTCCCTTCATGTTTCTGCCTACATGCACATGTACACACACACCCGTGCACACACAAGGACACATGGTCATGGAGTTAATTCACTGATGCATGCACAGAGGTGTACACACACGCACACACACAGCACAATACATACCTGCACACATACATTCAGACAGTGCATCCACACTACACAAGGTCTGCACACATAGAGACAGACACACACACCCCGACCTCATATAATCCCTATTGTGAAGTTACCCTGAAGTGACTTCCTAGGTCTGTTAAAGCAGCACACATGAAAGAACATGGCTGGTGTCGCCCAGAGCATGTGGCTTTGCTATCTCCCTTCCTCTGTTCTGTCCAGTCCATGGCTCACAAGTTGCACGTTGGCACATGGCCCATAGCTACTTTTCGTGGGAGGTGGCTGGTTGGTAGTGACCTTCATAGGCCTTGAACTCAGAGAAACCCGGTAGAGTCAGCTTGGGCCCAGTTTCATAATTTGTAAGGCAATCCTCTTAATTTCTATCTAATGGTGCTTTTGTGAATATTAAATACACTGATGCATTTTAAGTGCTTAACATGGTGCTTCCGGTCAAGAGTGCTCAGAGACAACGTCACCCATTTTCCTTCTTCCACCAATATTGTTACTGTCACCATCACCACTATTATTTCCCGGTCGCTGCAGGCATAGACTGAATCTTTATGCAGCCAATCACAATATCCACTTGTTCAGAAGGTGGGCAAACAGATCATTTCTGTTGGAATGGGTTTTCATTGTCCCACCAGGTAAATTTGGATATTGTACTATAGATAAGAACAGGTTTCTGGTAAGTAAAGTTACAAGGGGTAAATAGTTTAAAAAAACCCATGTTCATGTGAAAATAGGCCTGCCTCCTAGAAACTGGAAAGCTGCCACAGAAGTAGCACCAGGCTTTTTCACTCCTGCTTCTCAGACAGAGAACAGGGAAGCTGGGCCAGTGCCTCTATTCCCAGCACCTGCGGGGTTCAGGACCTGTCCATGCGCTACTTTGGCTGTTCTGGAAACCTGTAGGTGGCAGGCACCAGGCAGATTGGGCTTCCCTGAGAAGTGTGATGCCTTATCACCTCTTGGACTTGACTGTCCAGGCCTGGCTGGCTGGAAAGGTGGCACTGGCTGTGTGGGGACTGCTGTGAGTGGGATGTGTGTCGTGGGCATTGTTCCTGGCTTGGCTCCAAAGGAACCCAGGCGGCTTGGAGAGATGTGTCACCTTGGGGTGGGAGTCACAGAGTCACAGAGTCACAGGGTTTTAGAGGTAAATCCTGGAGGCTGTCCCATCCTTTTGTGATCTGGAAACTGAGGTCCATAGAGGGCATGCACATGTCCCTCTGTGTGGGTGTCTTGGGGCTGCTGGGACAAATGACCATAAGGTGGGTAGCTTAGAGCAACAGGAACTTGTTCTCAGAGAGTTTGGAGGCTACAAGTCCACAGTCAAGGTGTTACTCCCTCCAGAGCTCAAGGGGAGGGTCCTTCCTGCCTCTTCCAGCCTTTGGGGCTCCAAGCATCCCTTGACTTGTGTCTGCATCCCTCCCATCTCTGCTCCGTCTTCATGTGGCTTCTCCTTTGTGTGGTTCTACTCTGCTGTCTCTTCTTAGGGCACAGTCATTGGGCATGGCATCAATGGTCATAACTGTTGCCATTGATTGAATGTGTACCAGGTGTGCACACTGGGTGGAGGGTTCAAGGTGCCCTTGGAATCCCCACCATGAGGCGTGGACCTTATTTTTCCCATTGTAAATATGGGCCCCTGACAGAATAGTAAATCATTCCTTAGGTTGGGAGGCCAGTGAAGGGAGTGAGGAAAGGACAGCCCCAATACGTGGGCTTCTGACTGAGGGACCAGCTGGGGGTGGGCTGGAGTGGCCAAGCTGCCCAGGATCTGAGAGCCAGGTGGCCTTGGGAGTGTCTGCATTTGGAGCAGGACCTCTGAGCACTGCTCTCAAAGGACTGATGGTGAGACCCAGCACATGCATCCCTGTGGCTGTGTCATGGGGAAGAGGGTCCCTGCCTGGGCAGGGGCCAAGGGCACCATCCAGTCCAGGGGTCAAGAAAGGCCTCATAGATGGTAACATCTGAGATGGCCTTGAAGGGGAGACATGCATTTCTCAGGTCACAGGGTGAGTGGAGTTTCCTCTCTGGTGGGTGCTGTGGCACACTGCTGACTGGGGTCATCCAGCCACTGTCCTGTTGGTGTGAACACAGGGACCCAAATAACAGTGCTACCTCCCTGCATGGAGTGGCCACCACATCCTGGCAGCTGCTCTCCAGAGTCAGATTCTAGCAGCTTCCTGTGTGTTCATCTCACCTTCCCAAGATTTAAGCAACTCAGGGGCAGAGTTTGTGTCCTTTGTGTCTCCAGCCACCTCTCACGGTGCCGGGTGTCTGCTTCTCGATGCTCCATGGGCACAAGGAGCTGCTCTCAACATGCCTCCAAGCATCCTTTTCCTTCTGTTTAAGATGAGGTTTTCAAGCATTCCAGAAATGATGAGACTGCCATAGCTCATAGCTCACTCTGTCTGCCTACCCCAGAGGGCCCTCAGAACAGGACTCCCCAAACCACTAATAATAGAAAACATACAAAAACCCTATTTCACTTGGAAACCCAGAGACCACTCTCCATCACGTAGAGATGCAAAACAGACTCAGTGTGTGCCAGCACTGTGCACACATGGTCCCATTGCTCCTGACAAGGAAGCTACTGGTGCAGGGATATTCTCAAGGATGGCCTAAGAGACACACAAACAGCTGGTGAAGGGGTAAAAATTTCAGGAAAATATGGATTATATTCTCTTCACCAGTTATTCTCAGTAATTTTTTTCTGACACTAACACTGTTCATCTGCTCAGGCACCATTTAAGCATTACAGAGTGGTGGTTTAAACAACAGACATTTATTTCTCATGGATTTGGGGGCTGAAGGGCCAGGTTGAGGCGCCACAGGGCTGGCTTCACTCTGAGTGTCTTCGTCTGGCTGTGAGCCCGGGTGGCCTGGGTGTGCGGAGCCAGCTTGCCAGCTCTCAGGTCTCCTCTTATAGGATGTAATCCCATTATGGGTCCCACCCTCAGGACCTCATTTAACTTAATCACCTCCTTAGAGGCTCATTTCTACATACAGCCACTCTGGGCACTGGAAAGTCAACATGAATTTTGGGAAACACAAACATTCAATGCATAACACACAGGAAACAGGATATCACACGAACACACATCCTTGCTGATAAGGTGCTGTGCACTGAGGGTCAAGTGCATGCTTTTCTCTGCTTGTTTACTCTCCCCCTACCCTCTCAAGCCCTCACTTCTCTCTTTCCTCACTCAGGCTGGATGCAGAGAACTATGCTGAACATAAATGTCCAGGACCCTTAAAAAAATAATAGAGGCCCATGTAGAGAACCCCCCCTGGAGACCTCAGGGGTGGACCTCCACATGGAGGGGCCAGGGCCGTGAGTTTCCCACCCGCTGACAACTGAATGCTGTTATTCATGTTAACTCACTGCTTTTTTTGAGGTCGTAGGTTATAACAGCATTATTTACTCTGAGTAATAGAGAAGGAGAGGAATCTATTATAAAAAGGCAAATAAAACCTGACAATCAATTAAGAGAAAGCAAAGAGTGCACAAAGCCTTGTACTTTATTATGAATAGAAAGTGTTCTGCATGTACCCCCAATCAATCCGACAGGCAAGGTAGATCCAGATGACCAGCTGATTTAGAGCTAATACAACAGGTGGGATGGATCCAGGTGACCAGCTGACCTGTGTGCCATTTAGGGATCTTCAGGCTTGAAGGAATTTCCCTGTGTGAGGGCCTGGGGTAAGGGCCCCTGGAAATCATGGGTCAGCTTCTCTGCAACATTCTATTGCCAGTTAAAAGTATTCTTCATATGTAAGTAGCCTTTATCAGGGTTTCATTAAGGAAGGTTTAGTTTTTGTTTGTTTGTGGTTGGTAGATTGAGATATATAATAGGAAGTATAGATAAGGCAGCACATGCTGACCTGCCTTTGTGCCAGTTGATGTTCTACAGGTGGAGAGATGAGGGACTCACCACTCCTGGATTCATTCTGAGCATCTCTCTAAATCCCTGCAAGGCTTGCTCCATGAAAGGCCCCTGAGCAGTGGCTGGTGGTAAGGGGAGGTGGTGGCTTGACTAGGCTGTGGAGGCATTTCTGAATGGTGCACAGAGATGTCGCTCCAGGGCCTCAAATGCTTTCCCAGACACCCTGTTCCAGGCCCAGGTCCACGGGGTGGGCTGGGTACTGAGTATCTGGATGGCTGCCCTCTCTCCCCTCTGAACAAGGCATGTTCCATAGGGACCTTTTGTTAAACATCTCTTTTCCTGTAGCCTCTTCTCTTTATTCATTTTTTAGGGGTCCTTGACATTTATGTTAAGAATGTTTCTCAATTAACATTTTATAAAGGTGAATATAAAAAGCAAAAAGCAATGATCTCTTTAACTGCTCCTACTTTAAAACATAGAAAGATATTTAATTAGTGGGATAAATTTCTCTCTT